TGTTACGCCCCTCACATACTGTTGATGCCATGTCCGGCCGGAGCGACGAGACAACATTAAAACCCATTATAAACGAGGCATTTGTTGCATCCAGTGGGGACATAATTACTGATTATAATTACTTATACTGTCTTTTTGCGCATTGCGTTGCATTGCATCACTCCGCGTAAACATAAAACTCTGTCTGCATTTGTGATCGGAGAAATGACAAACAAGTGCTACTCCACCCTGCCCAAAACTCGCGTTTGAATCATCAGTGGCAAATCCTTTAAATGAAAACGTACTTACGTGAGTCAGAACTGCCGGCATTTTAGTCTAACGTTACTCTCCCAGGATCAGTAAACAGTCCTCCATAAAATGTGCTGCACACATCTGGATATTTGGGTTAAACTGTTCTGGAACAGTGTTGTAAATACAACTTAACCACTGATTTCTAGTCGTGTCCTCTTTTGAAAGACCAAACAAAGTAGTTTCGCTTTCACAACGAAGCGAAAACTACTTTGTCTTCACGACATGGCTGCAGCGTCAACAATACTACAGTGAGAATAAAAGTTACGCCTTCTTTCTTTGCGTGAACATTTGGGCGGTGTTATGCAAATCTTCCCACATCGTGAGGTAGATATGTGGGGGCGTGTTAGAACGAGCCGTTTTAGGTAGGTGTGGCTGACTCTTAACTTTTATAACGAATATCTCTTTGGATTTGAGACTTTAGTCTTTGCAACTTTACAGATCTTCTTTATGCACCAAGAGCTTGTAACACTCCAAAGAGAAAGGAAAAATTGAAATCGCATCATATGACCCCTTTAAAGCACAGCTACGTGCGATTGTGTTAAGTGCATTTTTGGGAAACACACGTGACACAATAAAGAATGATCGTAAAATGACTCATAGAAGATCAATCGTTATCGGGAAACCCGGCCCTGAGCAGTCGAAGGCTGCGCATTTATTGCATGGACGGAGCAAAAATGTGTCTAAAAAGAGTGTCTAAAGGATACGCACAATTCCATTGAATGATAGGCCCTACATGTGTTTTAACAATGTCATTGAACCGAATTTACGAAGGAAACTGTTAAAATAACCACCGCATTAACAACGACCTTGAAATAAGAGCTATCTGTTAATCAGATGCATGAAAGTAGTGTTCCTTGCTATAGCAAAAAGACATCAGGCCCGTTTTCTTTCAGAATCATCATTCGCCGATGGAGAGGAAAAGTTAAATACTAAATAGCATTTTATTTTATGAAAATGAGATAAAGAAGTTTTCACACTGAAAGAGTAGTGATCTCAGGCTCATAGAACTTAAGACGTGCCAGGAAATGCCTAATATTGACAGAGGCATCTATATCTGCAGCTAAGTTGAATAAAAGGCAGAATGAACTAAAACGTTCAACGTTGAAAGACAATAAACACAATAAATAAAATTTATGAATGATGCAGTGCTAATTGACATATCATTTATTACAGTACAGAAACTATAAAGTATATTTTCTACCTAATTCTGTGCAGAAAATTGAAATAATTGCTTGTAGTACATAAAACAGTCATAACATTGCCATTAGGAAAAAAATATAGATTACAAATGATTGATTATTGTCCAGCAGTGTATTTGATTTCTTATAGCAAATTCAAAGTAAGAGATAAGAAAAAAATTCCTTGTAAAATAATAATAATAATAATAATGCATACATGCATAGGCCTAAATAAAATTATTGTATTTTGCATTTCTATCACTTCTGAAATGATGGCTACTCGGTGTATAATTATTATTATTTAAAAAAAATTTTTTTTTAATTATTTTCTTATCTCTTACTTTGAATGGTAATGTCGTACACCCCTGGTGTGACAAAATGTTAGCCTATACATAATACTTTTAAAGGTCTTTTTTCAAATCTTGGCTTACATATATTTCTACATATGCCGTGTCATGCCATAGCATCATTAAACTAACATCTAACAATGGACAAAAGTGTTTTTTTTTCTCTAACCTATGGTTCTCTAACCATAAAGGTTGCTGTGCAATTTGCCCCCTGACTAAGCATTTGAAGAATTTAGGGGAAGCATTTAAATAATCCTGTGAATGCACTTAAAGAATGCAGAATCCTGACTAAGCATTTAAAGAATTTAGGGGAAGCATTTATATAATCCTGTGAATGCACCTAAAGAATGCAGAATTGAATCGTTAATCGAATCGAATTTAATTTAATTGTGAATCGAACTGAATCATTCTGAATTTGCAAAAATCGTCCTTGAATCGAATCGAAAACCTATGAATCGTGAATTGAATCGATTCGCTGTCTACCCAAAGATTTACAGCCCTAATTGTTACTTTTGATAAGAAACAAAGTCTCATCTTTCAAATTATGTCCTTTTTTCAGGAAATTCCAACAATAAATGCGTTTTGACGCTCTTTGACGCTCTTACAGATCGCTGTATAAACACCTCAGTTCAAACGGCAGCGCGATCATCACTTCCTCTTTACTGCTAGGTTTAACGCGAAATAAACATGTATGAACATCTCATGACTCATATAATTGCTCAATCAGTGTTTCGACTGCGGAAAGACGTCAATAAAACAGCTTGTAAACAAAATGTCATGTAGCATTTCATTTACCTCAGGCATTCATCAGTGTCCACAGCTCGTTAGTTCACTATAAATGTAGAGAAGAGCATTTTACCGAAATATTGGACTATGAATATTTTACTTTACCTGTTAGTGATGTCTTAATTATTTAATGTTTAGGCTAAATAAATCTGTTATGAAACAAGTTATGACAGCCACTGTGTAAATATTTCAACAACAAATATAAATTTTATAATTTAGAAGTTAATTTAAAAACGGCATTATGTGCAATTTACATGTTTGCATTCTTTTTTTTAAGTTGTGTTGCTTGTTATATTTAACAATAAATAGTAATTAAATTTAAGTTTGGGCTCTGTTGTTAACTGTAACCTTATAGTAGGCCTAATGTAAAAGGGCTCACTATATAGAGCATAAACCAAGGTTATGGTTTTATCCATAAGAAAATTTGAATTATAACTGAATTTATTTAAAGAAAGAGCAATTTGATCAGTAAACCACTGTTTAAAAAACAGTTTATGTTTAGTTTTCCCCCCTGCTGTACCGAAACTGTACCGAACCGTGACATCAAAACCAAGGTATGTACTGAACCGTCATGTTTGTGTACCATTACACCCCTAAAATGTACACAAGTTTATTTATATTTATTTACAATATTCAAAGTGCTTTACATTTTTCTGCATAATAAAGAAACAAAAAAATAACAAATTTAAAGAGCATTTTAAAATAAACAATAAATACAAAATTAATGCTTAAAAGAAAAAATAAGAAAAGGATTTTAATTCAATTTAAAATGGACTAAAACCGATAAAAGGGAAATAAAATGTATGCATAGAAGTAAATATGTGCAATCTGCGAGGTTTTAGAAGTAAAATGTATATTTTTTCCTTCTTTCTTCTTTTAGTCAGAAAATGAAGGGAGAGGTTCACAGTCATTTAGAGGAGAGCATTCGTCCATACATTGATCTGATTGACACTTTGCGGTCAGTTGGCATTCACAAGGACTTGGCTTTACCGACTATTGCAGTGATCGGAGACCAAAGTTCTGGAAAAAGCTCTGTGTTGGAAGCACTGTCTGGAATTGCTTTACCAAGAGGGAGTGGTGAGGACTAATTTTACACTCCTTTGCTACTGGATATTCACACAAACACACACACACACACACACATACGTATACATATATATATATATATATATATATTATTCTTCCTCTGAGCCAAATTTTAACACTTTACTCCTCCTAGAGCTTTAAAGCTACAACCACCAAATTTGGGTCAGACCTTTAGACTTGTCTGACTTGGTGTGCAAAGTTTTTTTTAACTGATCCGACTTACGGTTTTCATAAACCAGACTATCAAACCGCCAAAAATCCTATACACTTTCATTGAAAACTTTTGGTCACTTTTTGGCTGGTCTTAGTTGGTCAAACTGTTTTTTAGCTAGATTTTTACAGAATCAACTGGTTTTAGCTGGTTGTTAAACTTTTTTTTGTGCTAAATTAGCTGGTTTTAACTGATTTTAGCTTTTTTTCACTCAATCTGTTTTTTTTCACTGATTCTGTTGGTTTTAGCTGGTTTTAAGCGTTTTTTTTAGCTGGATTTTTTTTCATTCATGTTAGCAATATGTGAAATCATGTTAAAAACATGCTAGCAACATGCTAATTATGCTAAGAACATGCTAACAAGGTGTTAACAATGAGGATGTGCCTGAATCCAAATACCATGTTCGGAAAGGAAATGACGTGTATTACGGAACCCCTAAAGGGAATAAATAAGAGATGGGAGGAAAATATATATTTCAATGCTTTCTCTTGCAATTATATCATTGGGTAATTACACTGTATATAAATTGCAGGCATCAGGGAGCTGCTATTAATATGCAGGGCATTGAAATCGCTTTTGAATGCGCACTCTCTTTTTACTTTCACTTTCGAGATTTGCGATCACACGTACTCTGTTTATACTACGGAGCGGCAGCACTTACCACACATTTTACAAGATTAGATGTTTGTCAGTGGTGCTCAGGATCTGTATATCAATCGCGTTATTCATTTTCCGTGCCTTTCCGATTACAAATTTTAATATTAACAGTCCTAATGGTATTAGTTAGATGCCACATATATTAGCCTATGTATTTTTAAGCTATGATTCTCCCACAATTCTGAAAACAAAACAGACAACCAAACAAAATATGTAATTTACTTGAGTTTCTGACTAAATGTTTTATTAATGTTATGAGTCTATTTAAAAAATATTTATTAATTTAAACGAATTAGCCAAATATGAAAAAAAAAATCATTTGAAATAAATAAATGAAGACTTGTTTCATTTTGAATCTCTTGAATGAATGATTCAGACATCAAATACATTTAACAGTCAGGCTGATGATACACATGTTCGCCACCTACTGGCATAATGTAACATATACCGGTAGCCTACAATCATTATTTGCAGCATATCATTACTTTCAAAGACCCATTCTGATCGCGTCTCCCGCAACATCAGAGTCTATATCAGGACTATAAACTTTTATCCCAATACATTCGTTATTATTTAATGTTTGCAACACAGAAATGTAGCCTGCTGTGTAGACTGTTTGTGAAGCGGTTTCAAACATAAAGATTTACATGATGAGCACTGCTCTCTCTGGATCAGCGGCTGCGCAAAAGCATTTTTAAATATTCCGATGTGATTTCAAAGGTCAATCGCGTGTGTTTGAATCGAGATCGCGATCTTTTAATGATTAAACGTGCATACATATGAGCCTTATAGCCTGTGTATTTTTCTAGCCCATGTCATATTTGTACCAGACCTCACCAGGCCCGGGCGGCCCCCCCGCTTCCGCGACCCATGCGGCACAACTATGACTGCTGCACTTGCGTTTCACACAAGAGATGAATGGAAAGCCATGTAAAGTTAAAAGAGGTTCAACTTTTAGAAAACATGTCTGGAGAATTTGTGGGGGTTATATTCCATTCCACTGCGTCTCAAACAGGGCCGTTCCTGACCAATTTGGTGCCCTAGGCAAGATTTTAGCTGGTGCCCCTTGCGTCACAGCTAATTCCACCCCCGATCATTCACACAGAAACTGCTTATGACATAAAAAAAATTACATATGAAATAAATAAGATGGTTGCACAATAAATAAATAAATAAATAAACTGACATGAACTCAGCTAGCTATTTAAATTAGAGAACTTTATTGTCCAAAGGCAGCTACAATACTATTTAAATCTTAATTTCTTCATTTCAAACATTCATAAATTTAGGGATGCACTGATCTTAAATTTTTTATGGCAGAATCCAATACTGATTTGTAATGTATTTTATTTAAGCAAAAGACAAGAAAGAATGAAAATATGAGTGCATGAAGAATATGGTTATAGTTGCTTTATTAGCCTATATTTTGATCTAAATTAGACTGTATAATTTCAAAACCTGAAGCAAAAACAGAATGGTCTGACTTTAGCTTTGTGAAATTAGGCTACACAAAACATACCAAACAGCAGATGGGCTGAATGAAAAAGCAAATTCAATCTCTGTAAGCAGGTGGCGCTTAAGGAACAGCAGTGATGCATTGTTTCTTTGATTACCGCTGTAAACACAATGCATTATACTGAGGCAAGATGAAAGGAAAATGGCATCTAAACTTTTTCCTAAGACAGTCAGTTCCCCTCAGAGATACATTCATACTTCGCACATTGTGAACAGTGAGCTTGCTCTGCCTGCTAATGTATTTGAAAAATTCAGATGCAAAAGCCTTTAAGTGCCTTCTGAAATTTTCTTCTAAAATTAGCATTTTTATCAGGATCCTATGTTTAGGTTCGGTAATTTTACTTTAATGGCAATGTATAGGTCATTTTCTATGCAATTAAAGTGAAATAACTGAACCTAGATATAGGAGCCTGATAAAAAGGAAACATCCTTTTTATTAACAACATGCTAATAATGTTAAAAACATGCTAGCAAAAAATGCTAATCATGTTAAAACCATGCCCATGCTTACAACATGCTAATCATTATAGTAACATGCTAGCAACATGATAATCATTCTAGTAACATGCTAGCAACATGATAATCATTCTAGTAACATGCTAGCAACATGATAATCATTCTAGTAACATGCTAGCAACATTCTAATCATGTTAAAACATGCTAGCATACATGTTAACAACATGATAATCATGCTAAATATATGCTAGCAACCTGCTAATCATTCTAGTAACATGTTAATCATGATAGAAACATGTTAACAACATGTGAATTATGCTATGCTAGCAACATGTTAATCATGCTAGAAACATGCTAACAACATACTAACAAAATGTTAATCATGCTAAAACATGTCAGCAACATGCTAATCATACTAAAAACATGGTAGCAACATGCTAATCATACTAAAAACATGGTAAAAACATTGTAATAACATGCTAATCATGTTAAAGTCAAGCTAGCTACCAGGGACGGACTGGGAGTAAAAAACGGCCCTGGATTTTCTCCCGAATAGGCCCACCACAACTACAAGCAGTCACTACTATCTCACATTACAGCAATCCTATCACATTTATGGTCAAATAACATTACAAAACCCATGGTGACCCTGCTGACAAAAACAATAGAAACCATCACAGAAATTCTAATGATTTCCACTACAAATACCATTACAAATATTACAAACCATCAACTTTTAACCATTAAAACCATGAAGTAATGTTTTCCTGTAGTGTGTTTTGGGACATATTTCATTAGGATTTAGTGGTTTTAACAAAAGCCACCAGTAGAAACCAATAGGCACGATTACAGTTTCCATTATAAACAATGCAATTAAAACCATTACAAATTATGTGAAAGAGCAAAAAGCAAAATCTATAATATGACAATGATAAACATAAACCTGGAGTCTAGAAACAACAGATTTCTTCAATTTGAGTATTCATATGTCTCTGTCTGTCTGTGTGTGTGTCATGTTAATCAGACTAATCACCTTATAGGCTAACTTCATTTACTCTATTTTCTAACTCAATAGCTCTCAAATGTAACCCATTGTAGAATCGCTGCGGTCTCGCAGGCTAAATAGGCTACATACTGTGTATAGTGAGAGAGGCGGGCAAAGGTAACCTGATGTAACTGTTCGTTTTTTTTTTTCTTTTAGCTTCTCCCAACCTCCTTTATCTTCACGTTTTTCGCTTGCCATCACGAGCGCACTCTCCTTCGCGTCAGTTTCTTATAAGCAAAAATAGATTGCATTAGCGCCCCCTTTTGTCGGCCGCCAATGTCACTTAATCTGACACTTTTTCTTTGATGATGAACCAGCCAGGCTGAGGGCCGTCTGGATGGACTCCAGAACGTCCAGATGGCCAGTCCGCCCCTGCTAGCAACCTGTTACCAACATGTTAAATGCTAGCAACATATTATCTAATGTTATCTTAACATATATCTAATCTTGCAAACTTTAAAGCTTTTAAAACTGCTTCAAACTTTCAGACACGGCTTTTTCAAGCCAAATTCAAAGTTTGTTCACCAACTTTACTCATCTAGCTCTTCTTATTCTGAGACAAAAATTTCTGTATCTCCTCCTAGGGCTTTCATGCTACAAGCACCAACTTGGCAGAGACCTAGGCCCTGATGTGTAGTTTGTTGCTATATCTTTTTAGACTGATCAGACTTAGAGTTTTCGTATAAATAATGATTAAAAATAAAATAAAAAATCCCATGTACTTACATTGTCTGAGCAAAAAATTCCCACTCTAGATGACAATTGCAGTCCACTAGAGGGAGCCACCGTATAAGAAATCTTTGAAATCCCCTCATTACTTTTGTTTTCCATCGGTTAAATTTACAAATAAATACATATATTTTATTCACACTGACAAGCTAAACCAACATATTTGATCGTGACCAGGTCAGGTCAATATCTGATAGTCTGATGAGTGGGGAAGGCGCTCGAGACATATGACTGATCTGTCACTGCTCCGATTGGCCGCTGCTGCGGCCTCACAAAAGTTCATCATTTCATTTGCATGTGTTTTTAAGCCTTGCCAATTAAAAAATTCAAGCGATTTTAAGCAATTCAGTGCTTGTGAGCTGTTTTGCGTATCACTGAAAGCCACGTCGGGTCAGGTGCTGTCTGTCTTTAATGTAAATCCATCGAAAAAGCGAGAATCATTCATTGCCCTTGGCTACCTTTTTTTTTTTTTTACAAGAATCAATCTATATTTAATGAAAACTATGGAATGTTATTTTAGATTCTTCCATTTCTGTATCTGAACACGTGCAAACCCAAAACCTGCTCTTTTGTGCTATTGCTTACAATTAGCTTACTGTGAAATTTAACTGCTATCTACACTTTTGTTATCACAATAAGATTATTTGTTAGAATACAATATAACAAGGGTCTGTAAGAAATACTACGAAAACAATTCCGCTTCATTTGGCATTTGAACGGACACATACAAGATCATGTCAAAATACATAATATCTTGCAAATATCATCCAAAACAGTCATTTATGTCTCATGTGAGCATAAACTGTTGAGAAATAAATCGGATGTGGATCATTATATTGGACTGGTGCATTAAAGCAACTGCAAGTACCAGCTGCTGTGTCTTTTATATTAATCCATCGAAGAAGCGAAAACCATTCATTGTGCTTATGATAATTTTGTTGTCATAATAAGCTTCTTTATTAGAAAACAAAATAGGAAGAGTCAATGGAAAAATATTACGAAAACAACAACTGTTGTACTTTTTTTGTGGTGCGGTCTGCTCAAGAACACTGAGCAGACATGTGATTTGGCTCGTTTTCCTCAAGGCCACCCATGTTGGCTTTCTCAAGCCAACATCAATGTTTGTTCACTAACTTTAGCCTCTAGTTTATATATGATGTACTGTACGTGTCACATAATGTTCACTGTTTGTAATTCACTGTATTTGTGGACTGTGTTTGATAGGAATTGTCACCAGATGTCCATTAGAGCTGAGGTTGAAGAAGGTAACCGGTGGAGTCAACTGGAAGGCTGTTCTGTCTTACCGTGATAAGAAAATAGAATTTGTCGATTCATCACTGGTTGAAAACTACATCGAACAAGGTTAAGACAAATGCTTGCTTTCAGTTTTGTTTTTCAATTTGATATGTTTGAAAGTTTTTAATGCTTGGAAAAATAATGTAAATTGTAGCTATTAATGTATGTGGCTGAGAGCCGTGTATACCAATAATATAGCTCCGGTATATTTTTAGTTATAACTGGCAGTATCACATAGGGGAGATAGCATTTGTTTCTAAATTTGATGATTTCTAATATTGAACCATAAAGCAAGTAACTTGCAATTTTATGTTTCAGTCATATATGTCAATAGAAAGACCAGAATTCCATAGTGAATAATTGTAACGATTAATAACACATCAAAATAAATAAATAAAGTTAGCCCTAAAAATAAACTATATAGTCATTTAATTAAAGGCCTGTTTCTTAGTCACACTTTTTCATTTGTCTTAACAATGCATTACAGAATACAGACAAGGTGCACAAATTACAAGATATCTGACCAAGTCACAAAATTATGATCAAATATGCTTAAATTGCATAATGAATTGTCTGTGACGGTCTCAAATCATGTTGCTGAACTGATCATGCTTAACTAGAGTTGCGGACTCAGAAATCTGTATACAATGGAAACAGGGGCAAGGCCAGAAATGTTTAAGTGGGTGGGCCTAGTGGGCAAAGTGTAGTGCATGAAAACTGCATGTCAAATTGTCAACAGAAAATACAGCACAAAGGTTCAATACACAAAATGTATAACACAAATTGATTTGATATGTGTAACATGTTCAAGCAGAAATGGTAGCAAAATGATCATTTAAATGCTATTTGTCCTAAATGCATTTAGACTAACAGTTAGAACACTTAGGATTGCATTTTCATCATGACGCCGTGGGATATTTGTAGCAAAATTCAATTTGAAAATGCATTCCGAGCTGACCACGCCCACTCTCCGTCAATCATTGCTGCAAGGCAGGGATTGGCGGAAGCGTGTTATGTTTGGATCGTTTGAAACATGGCGGCTCGAGATCTGATAAGATCGCTGAATTCACTGGCAGATGAAGTGGACCGTGAACAGAGAAATATATGAAGCGTATGGTGTTCGGACGCCATAGTATTCCAGACTATAAATGGACATTACAAGCATTACAATAATGATAAATAAAACAATTTTTGTATAATTAATTAATTTAAATTAATGTTTCTAATAAACACATTTATAACAGAACCTCAAGTAAACTACATGTTATTTTGTTTAGTCATATACAGGTGGGAGCTTTTTCAATTTATTACTCAGAACGACTTATTAGCCTACAACACCTTTAAAGACTTATTCAGGGAAGTACAGCAGGATGCAGGAAATGGTTGAGTATTATTTTAGGTATAAAATATCATTATTGTAATGCTTGTAATCTTTACACAGCAGCTTGGCTCCTTAAATGTTTAAAAAACAGCTAATTTCAAGACGCTGACATCACGTGGGTCACCCGCAGTGTAAGACGCTCAAAACTCAAAACGTTCAGTAGACGTTCGATCGATCGGTCGTTCTAACGTTTGATTTTAGCATGGAATACGCTTCAAATATTTCTCTGTTCACGCTCCACTTCATCTGCCAGTGAATTCAGCGATCTTATCAGATCTCGAGCTGCCATATTTCAAACGATCCAAACGTAACACGCTTCCGCCAATCCCTGATTGCATTTTAAATTGAATTTCGCTACCTATATGCTTCCATAAAACACAACCTAGAAAGCCTCAAGCTTCGTACACCGGGATGATTATCGCGCGCGCTTATCGCCTACGTTTTTCCACGCGTCTTTTGTGTTCATACCCAGGCGATGAGCCGAGTGAACGTGCAAATTCACTCCCTAACATTAGATGGCGCTTAATGAAAAACAGAAATACCCCGGTACACATCGAATCCTATTTGATCTG